CGCTTTTTGATGACGAAAGCAAAAAAGATTTCGAAATTGCCCTAAAAATTTTTTTCTCTCAACTGCAAACTAACGTCGTACTCGATAAACATTGTCCACAAACTTTAGTTGCGTGAAAAAATTAATTGTTTATTTAACGCGTTTTTAATCCCTAATTAATGAAAATTTCAAATTTAGAAACTTTCATCTTTGAAAATTTAAGCCAGAGTTTAAATGTTGATACTTTCCTTATATCCTTTGTGTAAAACAAGTGCAAGAAAATTCAGGTTGTTTGTCATGCCTTGTAAATGCCAGACCGTTCAAATTTGCAAGACCGTTTTAATGCAAGACCAGTTAAAAATACAACCTTAAAATTTGGTAATCTGAGTTCAGAAAAAAAAAACATTTTTTTTTGTTGTGTGGAAAGCTATATATAATTTCCATATATGAAAAATCAGTGATCATAGACCTTACAAAAAATTTTCCATACTCATGGGATTGCATAAAAAGTGTTTGATTAGCATGTATTCATTGATGAAAATTGAAGGCTTGGCATTTTTTATTAAACCTGGTAGCCATGTTTTCGAAATTTTTAAAGCTTAAAACTTTTATACGGTGATCCATTTTAGTTTTAAGGACCCATCATATCGGTATCAATCTCAAACCAAAGGATTGATCTTGGTAACCATGAAAGACCAAGCAAAAGTATAATTTATCTCTCGAGAAAAGCTTAACTTATTTTTTCGTGTTATCAGAATTTTTCTCTCCGACGCCTCGTAACAAAAAACAAACAAACACCAAGCAAATTTTCAGTGACCCTAACACAGATTTGCTGTAAATCTGACAATGTGCAAGATAATGTATTCACATTTTTTGAAATATTTTGTCTGCATTCTTATCGTTGTTTTTAGCTGAGGATAATAAGTAATTCTAATGAAAAATTTTCAAGCAAGCATCAAAATTTGTCGCGAGATGCAAAATTAGGTTGAAATATTCAATTCTGTGCAGTAAATGTGCTTTCTTTTTTTTATTCCGACCAAAAAAATGTTTGTTTTTATTTTTTTCATTCAAAAAGCAAAGTCGCAATGGGTGTGGTGAAGGCATTCAAAGTTTGAATCAATCAAAGTTAAAACTTTTGCAAAAATTTTCTCAGCGTTGAGAAAAAAAACATTCCGAAGCTCATGTTTTTAGTCAGTGTTTTGTTTAGCTATTATAGATGAAACAAAACCGCACAAAAAAATTTTTGCCCTGAAAAACTAGTTTCTGAATCTTTGATCAAAAAAATTCCAAAAAAAAAAAATAAAAAAAGATGCAACAAATTCAAATTTTTTTTACTGACGCTTTTATCTTCTTTTTGTGCCTTCCATAGCCATACACCAAAAAAGACCCAAAATAATCTGTTTTTGTTTTTGTGTGGTCGGTGCTTTTGTGCTTTATGCAAAGCAACCCTCGATAGCGTTTTAGATAGTTTTCTTCTGCGTCTCAACAATGAATACTTTTTCAGAACCTTTCAATAGAGCTAGAATCAAAAATGAGAGGGATTAACTAGCATATCATTATAACTTGAACGATGCCGTGAGTTTGTGATACGTGACTATGCGTAGCGGAATATGTTCAAACACTTAGTTTCTACTACACTTTCATTACAAACTGGTTTTTAGAACGTAAATACACATACAGAACAAGGATAGTTGGTGGCTGTGTAAGTAGCACAGAATGTTCCGATCATATTCATCAACAATTACAAAAAAAAATCTTTTTTTTTTTAAATTGAAGTAGATGCTTGTCCGCGGTGTGATGAGAAAACTATTTGAACTTGTAGAAAGTTAGTCACTCAAACGGCATAATTGACATCACTTTTCCAAAAAATGAATAACATACAAAGCATAAAAAAGCTTTTAAAAAAATTGTAAATTTTTTCATCACAATAATTTTTTTAAAAATTGGAAACATTTTAGTCTAGGAAGGACTAAATTAAACAAAAATTTTGTCTAGAAAGCGCTAAATAGTAAATGATTTAGTAAAACTAAGTTTTTACTAAGATTTAGATAGCGAACCTTACTCGATCGGTAAACATTTAGATTGAGAATTTTACTCAATTGCTTTACTTGCTCAAAGGTAGATTGAAACTACGTTTTTTCAAACCGGTTTTTCCCAACAATGGGAACATTTTTGAACTAAAAAATTTTTGAACCTTCGAAAACCTTTTGAAAAACAGGTCGTTCGAATCACGGCTGAAAATGCTCTAATGTGATAATTCATTCAACCCATTCTGATGATTTTTCGTGGTACCTCATTTTGCGTGAAACACAAAAAACAGCAAAAACTAACAAGGATAGCCGGTTACTGTGCAAGTAGCACAGAATTTTCCGACCAGTCTTAGAAAGTTACAACAAAATTATTTTTCCAATTAGTGTCGTTTTCTCGATTTGGTGAGATAAAGGAATCTGAGCAAAAAATAGAGCCTAGGCATTTCCCTCAATCATTGTAAAACATTCCAATTAGAGATTAAACTTAGAAGACAAACAATAAAAAAACCAAAAAAAATTTTAAAAAAATTAATTTTTTTTGAACAATTTTTCAGAAAATTTTTCCCCCAAAATTTTGAAAATTTGATTCCTAAGATGAAAGTTAGAACTCCAAAAATTAAGTACATTAGAGTAAAACTATCTTTGCAAGACTTAAATTAAGCATAAATAAGGTAATGTATGCATGCTCACTCGCTTGAAGTTAGACGAAAATCAAAATTTTCAAACCGGTTTTTCTCGACACCGGGAAAACTTTTCGAATCACAACTGTTTGGGCTTAAAAATGATATATCACTGAACCCAGTCCGGTGATTATTTGTGGAAGGATAAATTGCTTGGAATACACAAAAAGACTGCTCGCTTGCTTTATTCGCTCGAATTAAGACAAAAATCAAAAATTCCGAACCGGTTTTTCTCGACACTGGGAAAGCTTTTTGTAACTTTTTCAATGTGGTTGGAATAACGACTGAAAGGGCAAGTGCGTTATAATGATTTATCACTCAACCCAGTCCGAACATTATCTGTGGTACCTGATGTTGCATGAAAAATAAAAAAAAGGAAAAAAACGAAAATACACCCGATTACAAAATTCCTCACCATTTTCAACAGTCAAGAAATTACAAATCTAGTTCATCACAGAATGGCATCACCTGTTTGAATCTCTTTTAATTGTACGTCAGTTTGTATCTTTATTTTTCTTGCCTGGAACAAATTGTAGAAAAAAAATCAAATTTTTCCAGAGTTTTCGAAGCTTTTTTTCTGAAGCGGGTTGTGAACATTTCAGCTTTTAGCGCTAAGCTTAGTGCTATTTTGGGTAAAAACTTTTAAACTGATTCTGATATAAACTGAAAAAAATATTCAGAAACAAATGTTCAGAATTTTTGAGAGTTTCTTTTTTTGAAATGCTTCTTGTTTTGTTTTACTAATTTTAGCCACATATGGCAATTATGTTCTAAAACCATTACTACAGTCAAAAAAAACCATTTCTCTAATTGCAAAAAGTAACAGAAAACGAAAAAATTAAATATACATACAAATTTTCATTTTATTTTCAAAGTAACTGTTATTGAAACCTGTAATGCTGCTGGCAAAGCAAGAAAAAATTAATTTTTTGTTAAATTAGAAATAGAAATTAAAAAAAATTGTTGCATTTGTGATTTAAGCATACATATTTTTTTTAAGATAATTTTGATTATGGCTAGAAAAAAGTGAAAAAACTATTTGAACGCCTTGGCATTTCGCATTTTTTTCCGAACATTAAAAGTGGGGAAGAACTGTAAATACGGGTGTTTTTCCTCTCAAAATCAGGTACCAGAATATAATGATCAAAATCACTTGAGTGGTATATCTTATGAAAGCCTTTTCAGCCGCAATTTGAACAATTCTGAGAAATTGTTCTAAAATTATCTGCAAAAAAGTTGGGAGAACTTGCCGAGACTTATTTGCGTTTTTTGTTAGTTCATTTTTTGGTGATTGCTTTTTTTATGATTGTACTTGGAATTTCTGGTGCTAGCTGCACCGCGAACGACTATTCTTGATGATTTTTGCGCTCGGATGTGCCGACCCATCAGTGGACCATATACGTGGGCTGAAATGTGAGCAGAAACCCAAGGTTGGAATCTGCAAAAATCTCAATTTTTGCTCTAAGTCATTAATCATTGATGACATAAGTCACTTCAGAATTCGTTATTTTCGAGGTTTGAGTTTATATATTTTTAAACTTCTAGAGTGATATATTTCAAGTTGAATGGTAGTGGTTTCGGGGAAGGGGGGTACGGGGATGTTTTAATGATGCGACTGCTACTTCCTTCTTTCCCGTAGCTGCACTGTCAGTTTGCGATTTAATTGAGACTACATGACTGCTGCGATAGTGTAATTGAAGCATGTCAATTGGAGGAGATTACTGTTCACTCGTTCTTTCTGACATATCTATGAACACTTCACTACGCTTTCCATATCATTCCCTATCCGCTGCTCCTGTTCACGACGCCGAAACTCGAAAGTCAACCTTAACATTATTCAACATCTGAAATTGTTGAAATAAAATCAAACTAGATTTTGTACTCAAAGCTCAAAAAACTCAACAAATGATGAACTGGACAAATAGCATTTTCTAAACAAATTTCCTTCAAAGTATATTGTGTTCGGAGTTCTGGAAAATTTGATGCTAGTTTTGTTTTGTAAAAGATTTTGGGATATTTAAATCGCTAAATTTTCAAGAAGGAAGTCTGCCAAGCCAAACTAAGATGCCAACTTCAAATTTAAAACCGTTTTTTTTTGCGATAAAAAATTTGGTGGCTCTGAAAACATTAGTATTTTTGAGACGGTAGCCCCGATTTCTTTTTATTTCCTTCAGGGTTTTGAAAGACTGATACTTCTATTGGCTCAAATAAAACAGTGACATCTCAACACGCAAATCTGTGACTTAATTTCCATGTTTAAAAATTGATTCCTTTATTGATATTGCCCATAAATGTTTTTTTTCCAGTCAACTTAATTGAATTTATCGCTTTCCTCGTTTTGTCTCGTTAAAAATGAATGAAGAGCAAGCAAAATTAAACAGCTTTTCTTCTCAAATTTATTATTTAACATTTCACTGTCTGTCTGTCAATCAGTTGTTTTGACGGCGATTTACTGTTAAATTGACAATTTCACATTTGCGCTTTTCAGTCTTATAAAACAGAAGTCTAAAATAACTAGAAAGGTTTATCAGCATTATTTGTTAGCAAAATGTCGACTTTAACTTCAAATTCAAACCCACAAAATATTCTGCTGCTTCTTAATTGCGACGACTCAAATTGCGAATGTCCGTTTTTTGTAACCGAAGCATCCCCCTCTAGATTTTGTTCACATTGTGGTCACACCTGGTTTTTCCACGCTTTCGAAAAAATCAGAAGGTGCGAAAGTAATCAAATTCGGCTCGAAATTGTCTTCAACCTTGCCTCATTGGCGCTCTACGCTACAACCGCAATTCCGGTTAGTTTGAAAATTTTGCTCGACAGACTTTTATCAAAACTTTTGCATTCCGAAGTTTTGCAAGTTATCTACGCTTTGGGCTGGTTGTACGAAGATTACGTGAGAGGCTATAAATTTTTCAATCAGAGTTTAGCCCAGCTAGATTCGTGGAAGACAGTTTCAAGGCAAGAAGAAATTGAAATAATTAAACTTTTCCAAAATTTTCCGGAAACTAAAGATATTGCGTGCAATATTTTGGAAAATTTTACTACCAGTTCTTCTGATGAAGAAAATCCAAGAAATTTTGAAAACTTTGATTATTCACAAAATGTAGCCGAAAATCCTCCGTTTTTGACTATAAGCGAGAAAGTGAAATCGTCAGCAAAATATATCAGTCAACATATTTCGAGAGTGTTGCGCGAGAAACCAAAATCAATCAACTGTTCGAAGTCCCTGACGGAAAAATACCGTCTCAGATATTATCGCTGTTTTCAATGTGCGAAAAAATTTCGATCTCTTGGAAGTTTGAAATCACATCGGAAAACATCGCATGCCAGAAAATATGTCAAAAGTTCAACGAAAAACAATGAAAATACAAAAATTTCTTCGAAAATAAAAACCGAAAACGATGAAATTACAATGCATCATGGAGAAAATTGCAAGTGTAAAAAGTGCAAATATTTAGCCTGCAATTTGATCAGAGCTTTCGAGCCTAATTTGAACAACAATGAGGTCAAAAATCCAGGAGAGGAAGCAAAAACTCCAGAATTTATCAATCAAAAACCAATGGTTGATGAAAATTCGAGCGAAAAGTACCTGACGTTTAATGAAGAAACGGACGCTTTGGAGGAATTGAAAAGCTTAGAAGCGTTAGTTTCTTCGGTTGATTTTGATATGATCTCCCCTAAAGAATCAAATATTTTAATCAAAGCAAAAAATCAGAAAACTAAGGACGATGATTTTGACTACGATGAACCTTATTGCGACGGAAATTGTCATTTAGACGAGAAGTTTCAAACCCGAACTTTTAGCAACCTTGTCGATTCGATTAGAAACGATCTTAATAAAAGTCTGGCAAATATTCGAAATGACAAACTTGATTCTGAATCCAAACTATTTTCGTTTCCAAGAAAAGAAATACCATCAAAAACAATCACAATTTCAAAAGATGACGAAAGTTGTCGACGACCAGATTCGTTTCCTGTCAAACTGATTGACAGTAACTTAAGCTGGTCTGAATTGAAAAACTGTTCAACAACCGTGCGTGAAAAACTAGACAATCTTCTGAGCAAACAAGAACAGTCAACGTGTGAACAGGGTGTGAACTCAGACTCAAAAGAAACTCAATCGACTGAAAATGTCAGATCTCTTCGAGGATCGATACGGTCGCTTCTCTCTTGCAAATGCCCGAAGTGTGGGAAGATTTTCAGCAGCCCGGCTTCGATGAGGGTGCATTTCAAAAACGTGCACATTCGGGAGATGCACAAATGTCTGGTCCCAGGGTGCAATTCTCTGTTTAACTCCGTCAGAAGCAGGAATAGACATTCGATGAACGCCAATCTGCACCATCGCAAATCAGCCCATATCCATTTTTTATAAACTAATTTTTACTATTTAAAAATTATATCTTAAAAATATTTTATGGTTTCTGGATGTTTCATTGTTCTATAAATGTATATCTTGCGTTAGTTAAATTTGGAACTCAGTTTTTCAATTCAGATGGCAACTTGAGGACGAAGATTCCCTTTTCCCGAAAAAGCGTTTTAGAATCGGGATGTTAACTTGGTTTGCTACAGTATTTCAATTTGCATTGGAAACCACAGGAACAAGATCCCTTTCCTGCCAGAGCATTTAAAAAGGCGTATACTAACTTGGTTCTTAGTTACAACTTGTGTTCAAGCCAGTTTCTCGCAACGCTCAACAATATTCCAAATTTAAAGTTTTCAGAAAATTGGCTTCTTCTGGTGACAAAACTAGATAGGTTAAGACAAAAGGTGATTTATGGGAGGCGGGGGTTGAACGCTCTCTCTCCTCTCTCTCTCTCTCTCTCTCTCTATGATGATTTGACCCCCAAAGGAACCCTCTTTTGAACTATTGATTGACAACAATTTTCAGCTGACCAGCCATAAAGTTTTTCTGAAGAGGTTTTCAGCGCCAAAATATTATTATTTTAAAGGCGGATCGCGCCAAAAAAGGCGGATTTTTTTTCCTATTCAATAGAGGATTTAGGGGGGGGGGTGGGGCAGACGCCTCTTCCCATCTCAGGGATTTGACCACTTGCCGACCCAAAGGATCAAAGGATCTCCCCTTTGTACTAATTTGAGATATCATTTTTTGGCTGTCGGGCCTTAATTTTTTGGCCTGTTTATCCAAAATTTTGTCTGCTGCGCAAATTGGGCCAAAACAGGGTATTTTTAGTGCTTTGAGAGAGCTCGGAAAGACAATTTAGTCCACCTAAAAATGGTCGACAAAAGCTTTGATTTTTTTTGAAATCGGCCCTCTCGTCAAAATCCTAGATCCACCCCTGGTCTAATAGATTGATTATTGTTCCGTCCATTCAAAAGGGAGAGGAACTTTGTATTTTGATGTGTTTTAGTTTTTTCTTTTTGTTTTCCCCGAAAAATCAGGTGCCAGAAAAAATCATTGGAATGGATCAAGTGATATTTCATATGAAGCACTTTCAGTCGTGATTCGAATGATTGCAAGCAATTTCTAAAAAAGTTTCTCACTGTCCAAAAAAAACGGTTTGAAATTTTTAATTTTTGGCCTAATTTCGAGCTAATGAGGTGAACTTGCATGCTTAAAAAAGCTTATTTAGGCTTAATTTAAACGTTAAAGCTTAATTTTACTCAAGTAAAATTAGTTTTTCGGGTTTTTGGCGCCATGTAAAATTATAAACTCCAAAATTCATAAACTGTCTGAAAACTTCTATTTTTTGCTTAAACTTTTTGTCACACCACGCAGAAAATAACGACACTAATTTTAAAAAAATTGTTTTTTTTTCTTGTGTTTTTAAGGATATGGTCGGAACATTCTGTGCTATTTGCACATTAAACAGCTGTCTTTGCTTATAATTATGTAATTTGTCATAAAACTAAAGTCTACAAAAATTGAATAAAAAACTTAGGGCCGTTAAATTTAAATTGTCACTTCACTCAGAAATGGTTGTAGCATTTACTGATTCATATATTTAATTAGAAATGATTGCTAACCTTTGGGTGCGATATAAAAACTTAGCTGGAGCTTTCAAGCCCGATACGTACGCAAGCAGATAGCAATATTATCTTTTCGTAAAATCTTTGCTGAGCGTGTGTTTTCAAATGACGAGCAATATTTTAGTCCTCAAAAAAATCCTTGATAGTTCTTGGTGATTCAATAACCTTAAATATTAGCTGACAAGTTTAATTTGGAGAAGCAGTCTGGTGTAATTTTTTAAAATCTATTTTTTGCTAATCAGAAAAAAAGTTTGACGGTTTTTGAACACACATTTTCAAACATATCATAGCATGAAACGTGTTTTTTTTTCGGAAAAAATTGCTTTTTGGACGATTAATGAGCAAAAAAACCTCCCACAGCTTTTTGATTCCGTTACTTGCTCCAAAAAATCAAGTAACATGAGAACGCTAAATACAGGGGAAAATAAATGTCCCAAAACAAGGAAAGTTACCATCTATTATACCTGCAATTCCAAAATCATTTGTGGGGTTTGACAATTAATGTTTGAATGAGTTTTGAGCGTCTTCTCGCCAAGTGGGCACTCGTATCGGGACAAATTCTAGAACGCCCTGGCGGCTTTTTGCGTTAATGAAGTAGTTTTGATAAATTTGAAGACAAATAAATCTCTCAATAAAAGTATTTTTATCTACCAAAATTTTAATCCACGTTTCAGCTAAAAAACGTAGTGAAACGATTGGTGTTCATAAAGTTTACAAGGATAGCAAGTAGCAAAGAACGTTCAGACCACATTCTCAGAAAATTTGTTTTTTCATTTTCGTTCAAATTAGTGTTTTTTATTGTGCGTCGTGTGAAGATAGAATTATATGAACGGGTGGACATTCAATGAATACTATAATTGTCTCAAAAAAAGAGAAAATTTTTCAAAAACATTATTTAATTTGTATAAAATTTTTTGCCCCAAATGTTTTTTCTTTGATTTTTATTTTGTTTACCTGAGAAGCGCCAAATAAAGCTTTCAAAACTAGTTGAGCTCAAAATTTCAAGTTTGAGCTCAAAATTTGTCAACCAGTTTTTCTCGTCAATGTGACAATCTTTTGAGCTGACAACGCCTGATTTTGAGTGGAAAATGGAAAATAGAAAAAAAATAAAATACACCCGAATAAAAAGTTTCTCCCTATTTTCAATGGTCAGAACAAAAAGACAACCAATTATTTTGGTTCAGTTAGGTTTGGACTGATTTCTAAGCGGAGTTATTTTCATCACTTGCGTTTACATAGAACAAAATATAAAGCACGTTTACACCACAATTGGTGGCAGTTTTCATACCGACATAACAAAAATAAAATTCACACAGGTGAATTATTTTTTTGAGTTTTGGGAGAATAGATGGGCGTATAGACATGCCGTAAGATTTTTCCCAGGGTGTTTATCCGTCAAACAAACAACAAAGTTTTTTTTAAGCGCAACGAGGGTCAAGAAAAACAACAGACGATTTTTAAATACATTCGATAAAGAAATGGAGAAAAAATGCCAAAAGAATGACTATCTGCATCCTTGTTTTCTCTGATTATCTGAGCTTTTGTGAAAAATTTGTTTCTGATGAACTTAAGAGGCAATTTTTGAGAATTCCACTTTGCAAAATGATAATTTTCAATCACTTCAATTATTGATTTTACCTTTGAAATCAATTATTTATTTTGAGAAATGCAGGGAGTTCTTTTGGGAAATTCTGGTTCTCATTTTTCGATGAACTTTTGAGTATCCCTGATTTGCAAATCATACAGCGATTAGATCATTTTGATTGCGAAGGGATTAAACCGCCTCTATAATATATGGTTGGTCAATCAATGTAGTAGGGGGGCGCGTAGGAGGACGAGGATACACTTTCAGATACCTCGTACGTCATAAGCAAAGAACTTGAAAATGATACCAGTAAGTAGCAGTTGCTGCTCTGCGTCTTCAGATAGAAACAGCCCCTGAGATGACTTTCAGAGAAAACAATTGACAATCAGTATTGAAAAGATCGACACTGAATTGACAAGCTCAAGACACTTTAACTCCCGGTGGATTTGCGCTTATCTTTTGTTCAGTCAAAACATCTGATTTTCTAAAGAACCTTCTCAAAACTGCTCATTCGTTCACATATCTCAATTCTGTGCATATTGTAAAATCAATCATGTTTTCAAACATTTTTCACCATTTTCCCAGTCTCTTCAGCAGTTTCTGCTGTTATTTCACTCCGAAAATGGCTGAAGTGAAGATTTGGTGCTGGGTAAATTAAGACGAAAGCACTTGATTAAGACGGCAAGACATTTAGGCGACAATTTTTCACATTGCGATCGCAATTTAAAAATTATTTCATTACTACTTATTAATTAACAAGGCTTGTGAAATTCTAAGAAATTTTTTGTAGGAACACATTTTGACAAGCACATTGCTATCGGCAGAAAGTTACTTCAAGTCGTGTGATACACTTTCATTGCAATGGCATGCAGTTGAAAAAAAAACAATTTCAAGTAAATATAAAATTAAAGTTAACCAGAAATGATTTTTTAAAAAATCTATGATTGTTTTTAAATCTAAGCTTGCACGCATGTTTTATAGAGTCTTAAATTTCAAAATTGAAGCCAATTAACAAACTGGAATGTCCCGAAAAACGTTTGTCGTCTTATTCGCTGTCGTCTTATTTGCCGAAAACCGAAAATTTGATCCGTATGCCTGAAGAAAGGACTGAAATTGTCAACCATTGATTAAACGCGCAGTTATTGGCAATAGAAGGCAACATGACTTGATTGACACTAGACGACAGACATTTGGAGTGACATTTATAGGGGAAAAGTGAAAAGAGTAATAAATAATTGAACAGAAAACAAGAATGCATCATCGGGATTAAATTGTAACAATAAACCCCTTCCCCTCCCCCCTTTTCCCGTCAATTCTTCACAGGAGCGTCATCATTCTCACAACAAAAAGATAAGACCCCTATATAACTTCCTAAGCTAGTTTTAACTCATCTTTACAAATTGAAACTCAATCAACACATCTTTTTTAATTATGAAACCAAAGCAGGACATTTATTAGAAAATTAAGATTAACTTCCGTTTTGTTGACATTTCGTATGAAGCTGAAATGTCAACAATGAACAAGGGTTCGAAATATCATTAAACCTTAAATGGACTTTTAATCTTTTAATTCGGAGTTGTTCGTTCGTTTCTGAAAATGACATAAGTCTAATTTGATGCCATCTTTTGAAAAGTAGCTCTCTTGGTTGAGTATAGTATGGTCTTGCTCTGCTTATGGAAAATGACCTCTGTGTCGCAAATGGGGTATGGAGAATAAGTGAAAGAGCACCCCTTGAGAGGGATTTCAGGGGGAAGAGGAGCGGGAATAAAATGGGAAATGAGGATTTGGAGAGGGAACATTAGTCAAGTTAAGTGACAGGTGTCAATCACCCATGGCTATCGACCAT